GACGTAATATTTAGGCCTAAAATGTGCTTTTCTCTTCCGTTCACACAGTGAAGTAGCTTGTAGGTCTGGAACCATAAGGTATTGCCCCACCTGCAGGAGATGGACGCTAGGCACAAAACAAAAGACAACTTAGGGGAGATCAAGTCTCCAGTTTTGGCCTAGCGTCAGGACTAAGGAGCTAAGAAATTTTCTCTGGAATTCTTCCCTGCTTTTTTCCTTCGTTTGGCTGCATCTCAAGCAAGTGCCATCAGGGTGACACGCTGGATAACTGTGGATCCTTGTAGTCCTACCCTGTACGGCCAGTTTTGGCTCAGGCCATACTATTTCAGTGGCCTTTGGCTTCCCATTCTATAGTCTGTGCTTTTTGCAGGGGGTTACTGATATTATTCCTCCTGTCCGGTCTCTGTTACACCCTAGGGATTCTGATTTGGTGCTTTCAGGTTACAGGAGTCTCCCTTTTGAGAATTTTGAGGGAGGTTCCACTATTACCTCTGTCCTGAAAGGTGCTTTTTTTTGGTGGCTATCGCCTCTGTTTGGAGGGTTTGGAGGCGCCTCTGTTTGGAGGGTTTTGAGGCTGGCAGCCTTGTCGTGTAAGTCCCCTTTTCTGGTTGGACACGTTGTCGTTCTGTGTGGGGGGAAAATGTTTTTGCCCACCACATGTTGCACTGCTTTGTGACGTCCCTGTGGTACCAGATCTACAATCTACTTCACTGTCCTTCAATGAACGGAAATAGGATTTTTGTACTCACCATGACATCCTCTTCCCTACATTTCATTGAAGGACACATCACCTGCCCTGTGTGTGTGGGAGTGTACTCCTTACGACTCGTTACTTAGTGGAGACTTGATCAGCAAGTGGGGGGTTGGCCACCAGCAGAAGCCGCCCCTAGGCTGTCTTTAGTTTTGTGATTTGTGTCTTTCTCCTGCAGGTGGTGCAGTACCATATGGTTCCAGATCTACAATCTACTTCACTGTGTCCTTCAATGAACGCAGAGAAAAGGATTTTACGGTGAGTACAAAAATCCTATTAACATGTGAGCAATGCAAAAACAGCGGTGGCAGAGAAAGGGTTAAAGGCTTTATTAAATCTGCTTGGAGCTTGCTGACTTCTATGCAAATGCTTTGTAAAAGCTTCCTGTACACACTGCTCTTATACAAGTGGAAGCCTATGTGTACAAGACTGTAAAGATCATCAGAACAGTGGTCTGTGTGTCTATCTCTTCTACGGTGTGCCTACTGTCCAGCAGGAAAACACCAAGCTCCATTTCTTTACTATTTACATCCTATTGCCTTTTACTGTATGAGACCTTTTGTCTGCGTCAGATTTCCTGCTGTTTTCACTGATTATTTGGGTTAACAGCGCTAAACACGGGCTGCATTACTAAGTGTTTCATGTTCAACATTGAAAGGCTAATGATTGTTAGTAACCCATAGCAGAAAATGAATTTCAGTAAACTAACCCTAGATCAATTCTATGCACTCTAAACACTGTTCTTTGAATTGTCTTTCTGAATATGCCCTTTAACACTGAGATCAGTGTAGTGTGGAGCAGTTGTCTAGTGTCTGTGCATCAAGAGCCCTGTTGCTCTAAGCTGGCTTGAAATGAAAAACCCATCACAAGCCTAATGCAGCAACTCCTACCTTGCTCAGTACACTATGCTAAGTGCTAATTACTAGGATGTTATCCTATTTCCACGTCTTCTTTTATTTGAGGAAACTAATTTCAAGGTAAATATGTAGCCTGCAGTTGCTGACCTGAAAATACTAGTTGCTTCACTGTCATGTTGACTATCTGCAATACATTGAGTCAGTGACTTACAAGCTGTAACCTTGTTTAAAGGAGGTCTCTTTACTCCAGTGATACTAATAGGCATATCAGTGCCTTTAATTTAGCATGCAACTTGTATTTAGATTGATAATGGGCTCCCTTTAAATCAGGGATTGGCAACTCCAGCTGCAATTTAACTACAAATCCCAACATGCCTTTACCTCTGGGAGTCATGCCTGTAACTTTCAGTCTTGCAATGCTTCCTGGGAATTGTAGTTCAACAACAGCTGGAGGGCCAGAGTTGCCCGCCCCTGCTTTAAATCCTCTGGGCTGTATCAAGGGGGGTAATTTTTCAGGTCAGGTTTCCTGATGGTGACAATAATGGAACATGTCTATGCAATGTGAGTCAGCATGGTCACTTGCAGTCTTCCTTTGGAGAGCATGTGAAAGGGTGACAACACAAAAGTACAAAAGAAAACAAAGGACAAACCCTCAGCAGGAAACGGTGATAATTTTAACAGATATAGTATTTCTATCCTCTCAGTTCTTGTTGTGATAAACGCCAAACCAAACTGATATCTTATAAAGATGACCTTAAAGGAGAATAAACAAGAATATAGTTTCACATAAAAACACAATTTATTACTAAAACGTGACAAAAAACATCACATGTATAGTAGAGTCATTTACTGACTTTTTTATTATTTATATGAGTTGATGTTTTGTTTTTTTGTCATGTTTTAGTAATAAATTGTGTTTTTATGTGAAACTATATTCTTGTGAGATCTCCTTTTAAGGTCATCTGTATAAAAGACAAGTCAAAGGCACAATTGGAAGGCAGAGACAGAGAGTTGTCACACCCCTATAACTAGAAGTGCCTACACAACGGCCTTCATTGCCGGATGCTTTGATATTTTTTGACTTACAACTGCAGATTTAAGACCTGTGTTAACCGGCATGTATAATGACAAATGGGCTTTGCATACCTATAAAGGTGTATGGGAGTGCAAAACCCACTAGAGCCAGGTCTAATGGAGGTTCAAAGGCACCAGTCAAGGAATTCTGAAAGATCTCAGATTGATGCCATCCACACGAGCCCAAAGCTTGTCAACCTAGACCATTACAAATATCAAAAAGAGCTATTGAAAAGCTTGTAAGAGGTTCTAGAAATTTGGTGACTTGGAGTGATTTTTTTCCCCCACAGGTTGGTGTTGTGATTTTCAGCTCGGTTCAGCTCAGTAAGTAATTTCAAACTTATTTGCAGTTTAAAAAAAATCAAGCATGCAAAGTTTTGACTTTGGCCTTCATCTGAGCCATAACGCAATTCTGACTTGCAGCAGTGCAATAGATGAAATAGCAAGGATGAAGACTAAGAAAGATCATGTCCCTCACATCAGTGTGCAGGAAAACCACAGAATTGAATGGAGTTACTACGAGGCAAGCAAGTGACATTAGAAATGGGCAAAGCAGATGGATGGCCAATAATGAACAGAAACCAGTGTGATCTGAGAATGAATGGCTGATGCGATGGAGTAGCCAGGTACATCAATACAGTGATCTCACCTCTAAGGCAGGAAGGGTGTATGACTAAAGTTGTCGGTACAGGTACTGAGAAAGGCCATTAGATCAGAAACCAAAGGAGCCATATAGTGAAAAGCCCTGAGGAAGCAAACTAGAGCCCAGAGACAAGACATAGGTGAAGAACTAATAGACAGGATCCAGCACTACAGTACAGTATGTATGTCTATTAAACATGATAAGGCCAATTACTACTACTTCAATCATTAAGAAAATAAAACTGGCTTTCTTTTACTTGCTTTAAACAAGTTAATGGCAAAAAATCTTTGTTCACCATTACCTGCGATGTCTCACTGGTTTTCTAACTTTATTTTACACAACATTCTTTATGCTTACAAGGAAACGTGTGTGAATTAATTTCAGAATAGCATCCTTCTTCTTGTGCACACCACAGCAGGATCAACTGGTCACTGATGCTTACAAAGAAGGATACAGGGTGGGAGTAGCTTGATGCAGAGAACTGAATCACGGATTAATGTTTCGATGTTGTACAGCTGAACTTCTATTAATGTACCTATAGCCCATTTCTCTGTTGGCTTTTTTGTGCTCCTAGATCTGGTATTAAGACCATAGCGGGTGATGTGGCCACAGAGGGGCCTAGGGTGTGTGGGACTTGTTACTTACCAAGATTCCCCAAAGTAGTTTAGCTAGCACCTGATAATTTCCTTACATATATCTGAAGCATACTGCAGACTTATATGAAACAAATGAGCAGGATAAAGCCACAGGTCTGCTGAAGACCTAATTCCACATTCCTTTTGATAATAACCACAGTGACAACTACAACTGAATACCTTATCCCTGAGAATGGGTCAGAAAAGACTTTCTGAATATTCGACTGAAAAACTATAGAATGAAGCACAGCTCTTATGAACGTTGAGAAATGCAAAGGTGGAAAAGGGTCAACCAGCAAACCAACAGTTTGATGACTGAGTTTCTAATGGGTCTGTAAATTCTGGGGTATGTTCCTGGCACTCACTGGAGCTGAGAAAGCTGCTTTGATGTGTGGCAAGCATTACAGAACAATCCAGCTTAATCTGACTAACTACTATTAGCTACAACTATCATATGTCTGGATCAGAAGCTTCAAATATATATAGATTTGCAACATTTCATATAATACCCACAGACTTCTAATGATGCCATTGTGTATTATGTTTCTTGTACTTATTTAAGACTATATCAACTATTTGCTTTCGGATAGGGTGGGATATCGTTCATGGCCAACTCCAGCTAAAACTATTTTCTGGTTTTGAATAGAGTTGGGCAAGGTTAGACTCTCCACTGGTTTTTTTTAATCTCCCCCCATCAGTGAGATTCCCCTCATTTCCTGTCTGGCTGACATCCATCACTAGGACAAGAAGTGACAGGTGATCTCAAAGTCTTCACAAAGTAAGAGATGTCATTTACGCTCAACCACTCTATGCAAAACTAAAACTGTTTTGGCTGGAGTTGGGCTTTACACCTAAAAGGAATGCACCTTAATAAATAAAACTATTAGTGGTGCTCAAATCTCTTTCCTTTTGGGGTAAGGCTGAAAAAGATTGTTCCCGTTTGTAATTATGAACAAAACATGATCTGAGAATTTGGAAACAGTCAAGTAAAATTGTTTCCTCCAATAAAGGACGATTGAAGATATTTTGTCTGTTCTCACCTGCCAGGCCTCCAACTGCTGAGACAAGTTGACCTTTTGTTGAATAGCATCTAGTAGTTGAGTGTTCAGCGACATTAAGTCAATTCTACACTTTGCCAATTCCATTTCCACAGCATTCTTTCTGGAGGGAAAAATGTACATACAAATTCAGTCATATACAGCGGCCTAATTAAATATTAACCCCCTGGACTGTTCCAAATGTTTTCCCCATTTTGAATAAAGTAGGGAATGGTTAAAATTAGGGATGCACCAATACTAGTATTGGTGCAGATACCGAGTATTTGGGTTAGTACTCGTAATCGCCCAAATGCTTCGATACTTACCATGCCGTAACTTCCGGTCAGAGATTTCCTCTGACCGGCAGTGCTGCGAGGGAACATGGAGCCAGCTTCTGGATTGGCCCGGGAAGCCTGCTCCATGCTTATTGGCCAGGAAGCTGGCTTCCCAGCCAATCAGCCTCGAGCCTGCCAAACAGCATGGAGCTGGATTCCCAGCCAATCAGGAAGCCAGGCAGCGGGTAACGGCCTGCCTCCTGGCTTCCTGATTGACTGGGAAGTTGGCTCCATGCTGATTGGCTGGGACGCTGGCGGCCAAGCCGCATCGAGCCGCCCAAAAAGCATGGAGCCTGTTTCCCGGCTAATCAACAGGCTAGGCAGTGGGTAATGACACGCTGCCCAGGAAGCCAGCTCCATGCTACCGGTACTCGTATGCGATGTACAGAAAAAAAACAGTATCGGCGCATCACTAGTTAAAATATCTGTCAAGTTATTTTTGCCTTCTGTGTGCCAATGGAGAGATTTCCCTTCACTTCTTGTTGATACAACAGCAAGTAAGAGGAAATCTGCCTAAAAGGAGGGGGAACCCCTCTTAGACAGGGGTCACTGAAACAAGTGTCCCTACTGAAAGAATACACCTTTATGTTCTGGTGCCAACTGCAAAAATAGTAAATATCCCCAGTAGGGCCACAGAGAACATTAAAAACCGGACAGAGGCTCTAACCCTCCCCCCTCCCAAGTCCAAAAATTGGCTTTAAATACCCTTTAAATAAAGTGATGTTAAACATCATTAAGTGGAGGGCCAATAATGCTCTATTTTTTTTCAATGGATTGATATTAAAGCTGCCCATACACCTTACAATTATCTGCAGGTTTTCTGTGGTCGGATGGAAAAGGTGCAACACCATCTACACTTAACTGTGTGGATGGAGTGATCTCCACCTGGGCCAATCTGTTGCACTTTTTCCATCTGACCACAGAAAATCTGCAGATAAATTGTAAGGTGTATGGGCACCTTTACACTTACTGGCCGCTTTATTAGGTACACCTCTTCAACTGCTTGTTAACACAAATATCTAATCAGCCAATCACATGGCAGTAACTCAATACATTTAGGCATGTAGACATGGTCAAGATGGTCTGCTGAAGTTCAAACCGAGCATCAGAATGGGGAAGAAAGGGCATTTAAGTGACTTTGAACATGGCATGGTTGTTGGTGCCAGATGGGCTGGTCTGAGTATTTCAGCAACTGCTGATCTACTGGGATGTTCATTCACAACCATCTCTTGGGATTACAGAGAATGGTCTGAAAAAGAGAAAATATCCAGTGAGCAGCAGCTCTCTGGGCAAGAATACTTTGCTGATGCCAGAGGAGAATGGCCAGACTGGTTCAAGCTGATAGAAAGGCAACAGCAACTCAATTAACCCCTTCATGACTGAGGCCCTTTTTTAATTTTTTGCACCCATGTTATATTCCACATTTTAGGACACCCACACCAAGTGCAATTTTTGTCAGCTAAGAACAGGAAACTGAGGCTACAGTTTGCATGGGCTCACCAAAATTGTAAAATAGAAGATTGGAAAAACGTTGCCTGGTCTGATGATACTCAATTTTTTTTGCGGCATTCGGGTGGTCGGGTCAGAATTTGATGTAAACAACATGAAACCATGGATCCATCCTGCCTTGTATCAACGGTTCAGGCTGGTGGAGCTTTGCATCATGAAAGTGCAGCCGACAAATCTGCAGCAACTGTGTGATGCTATCATGTCAGTATGGACCAAACTCTCTAAGGAATGTTTCCATCACCTTGTTGAAAGCAGTTCTGAAGACAAAAGGGGTCCAACCCAGTACTAGCAAGGTGTACCTAATAAAGTGGCCAGTGAGTGTATATCCAGGGTCTGTGCACTGTGCGGGAAAAGGAGGAGGTTTCCCACAATCTTTATAGGCATAGACCAGCTTCTCCAACTCCTACATCATGGATGCTGGGTAGGGTGGCTCCAACAGTGTTTTGCAAACTTTAGAGTGGATATTGCTAATTTAAGATCTACATCGTCTTGTATTTACTTTATGCATCATTTCATGGCCTGGTTTACTAAGGCTTGAACTGAGGCATAGTTAAGGGAAATAAACTTGTTTTCACATCAAACATCCAATAATATGAAGGAGAATTGAAACAAAAATAAATGTACATCTAATAAATACACCACAAAACAGTCATAAATATATGCTTTTACATTTCTTTCCACTGATTATGTTAGCTATATAGAACACAAGCTAGAACAAACAGAACTACTAGAGCAGGGGTGCCCACAATTTTTGTGTTAAGATCTACTTTTCAAATGACGAGCTACATGAGATCTACCAACGAAAAAAAACCTCCCTCGCTCTCTCTCTCTCCTTGCTGTCTCTCCTTCTTCACCCTCCTGGCTGTCTCTCCTCTCTCTCCTGGCTGTCATTCCTCGTTTTCTCTCCTGGCTGTCTCTCCCCGCACTCTCTCCTGGCTCACCTTGCTGTATTTTGCAACAGGCAGTGTAAACTAATATTCTTTGATGTAATACATAGCACTTCGACCACCACCGGAAAGATGTCAGGGAGCTTGGCTCGGCAGACTCAGGCTAATAGGTAATCATGTGTGCACAGCTAAATAAATATACCAAAATGGAATAAAGGAGCCACCATTAACACCCTTCCTGATCTACCAGCATCAGCTTTGAGAGCTACTGGTAGATCACGATCTACCTAATGGGCACCCCTGTACTAGAGCATATGAAAAAATCTAGCCAAGTGTGATCATTTTTACTTAGCATATAGTGATTATTACTTGGCAATAGCCTCATCTCGGTCCTTTATAGCCTTCAGTAGCTGTTCGTGCACATCATTATCTTGGGTCAGTTCCAAGAGGTGATCCCGTTCCTCTTTCAGTGCAGTCATTTCAACACTCAGCAAAGTTACCTGAACAGAAACAGCATCTTGACATTAGAATAGTAATAGTTACACGCACGGACACAAACTTCATATATATTTTATTTTTATTGAATACAGGGCCAATGATTATTACACATATTAGCGATTTTGAAAACTGTAGTACAACTTCAGCTGAAGTTACTACCTTTAAAGTGACACTAAACTCAGGATTTGCTCCTGTGATGGACTACAATCTAAATACAAATTAGTAAACTCAATGTGAGATTGTAGTCCATCACAGGAGTAAGCTTGGAGCGGTGGCTACTTTACAACACACACAGGGACCATGGGGAACAAAAGTAGCCACCCCCCAGAAGGAAAGACAGCGTCAGCACCAATTTAGAGATGATTTGAGAATCTACGGCTGAGTGATACCCACATAGGGTCCAGTATTGTTAATAGTTAGGGTACTTGAATGCATCCAGAATGGAGGAGAGGTTAGCAATTATTCAGTGTAAACAGCCGCTGCCCGTTATCCCGGGCTCCGCTTTCCCCTGTGCAGGCCCAGGATAACCACCAGCAGCGGCAGTGTTTGGCACCATACAAGCAATCGGGCAGCTACAGAGCTGCCCAAATGCTTGTATGGAACAGCTGGTAATGGTTGGTTTAAGCTTTTGCGGCACAGACTAGCAGGAAAAAAAAAAAGATGTACATGTACATCCACCCACTGGAAGGCAACGGGCGGACGTCAAGTAGTTAAGGTTTAACTCTTGAGTTTAGTGTCACTTTAACTATCGCTATTACTACTATTAATATTAACAGCAATGAAATCTGAAGAAAAGCAAACTGATATGTAACAATCAACATCCAACCCTAATCAGTATATATGGACAGCATATATGTGAATGCTATCCAATTCACTGGTCCTCGTCTGGTTTTTAGACTTTTCTTTCTTGTTTTCTTATCGGCATATTTTTAACAATTTACAGGAAATGTAAGGCAGGCGACTGTTCTATTATTCTTGTTCAACCAGTGGGCTGAGTAAAAAAAATAGAGTAGATGCCTCCGTCGTTACTACAAGTGCGTCAATTAAGGAATCTTGCTGTTAACATACCTGACCAGAGCCAGCGGTCAATGAGCTGCTGGCTCTGGTCAGGTATGCAAACAGGGAAGCCCTCCAAAACCCTCCTAGCAGTGGTGATGTATGTAGCTATGTAGTGTGTGCCAGAAGTCAAAGGATGTCCACATACCACACTTTCTGGGCCAGTTGGGAACCATGAGGATCACTGAAAAAAAGGAGGGAAAAACTAACATACATCCCCACTCAGTAGAGAGGAGATCCACTGGACACTAGAAAAAAAAAACAAGATTTGTGGGAGTGGGAGGTTTTACATGTGTGTCCTCACAGCTTTGGCCAATGTCCAATCACCTGATGATGCCTGCATATTACATTCATCTCTGAGTCTGCCTGTGTCCTGTACTATACAATCAAGAAAGCTTATTTGCAATGCTTATAAACAGGCATACAACTGAGTAGTGGCAGTGCTATTTAGGAGACTTGCCAAGCAATTTGCGACTGCACTAGATGAGAAGATTTAATCCTTCATAATGGAGGGGTGAACACAAACTTTATTAACAGTTCTTTAAGTTTTTATGACCGGTTTTAAATTAAAGTTGTGTAAGGATTTTATACTATGCAATATTTCATTTCTTTCTCTTGAGTACAAACTGCTATGGAGGAGAGGAGATATCTGTGAGCAGTGACTGATATTGGAGACGTGTTATGAGTGCTTACTGGCCATTATTGTTGGTCCATCAAGTCTGGTGAGTGAGGGCAGTGTACATAAGAGCACGGATTTTTTGCAAGCGGATGCAGAATCATTTCACACAAGGAGCACGAGTGTGGTTTTGGAGTTATATGAAGCACACTTTTCATATATGCACTATTGGGATGCAATTGAATATGGAAATTTGGCGAATCAAATGGAAATGTTTTAAATATTGTAAGGTTTTGAGGTCAATTGAACACATTTTTGTCTATGCATTGTACATTATATATTTATTATTGGCAATTTTATAAGCGCATTGTGATTGTGACTTATTACCTGCTAAAAACAATGGCCTCTACTCATTACTCTTGCTATTAGACCTTTCTGCTGCTTTTAACACAGTTGACCACCCACTGCTCCTCAAAAAACTCCACTCGCCTGGCCTACAAGACTGCTCTCTCATGGTTCTCCTCCAACCTATCTAAGCACTCCTTTAGGGTCACCTACAAATCTAACTCCTCCCCTCCTCTTTCTGTAGGGGTCCCCCAAGGCTCTGTCCTTGGACTCCTTCTCTTCTCTATCTACACCTCCTCCTTTGGTCAGTTAATAACCTCACAAGGCTTCCAATACCATCTCTATGCCGATGACACTCAAATATATCTTTCTACTCCACAACTCACCCCCTAAGTGTCATTCCCAAAGAAACCGTAAAATTACTCATCCACTCCCTTGTTCTCTTTCGTCTTGACTATTGCAACTCCCTCCTCATTGACCTACCTCTACACAGGCTATCACCCCTTCAGTCTATCATGAATGCTGCTGCTAGACTCATCCACCTAACCAACCTCTCCGTGTCTGCAACCCCCCTCTGCCAATCCCTCCACTGGCTTCCAATCACCCAAAAGAAAAAAATTCTAAATATTAACAACCACTTACAAAGCCATCCACAACTCTGCCCCGGCTATATCTCAAACCTGGTCTCAAAGTATCCCCCTAAACGTCCCCTCCACTCTTCCAAAGACCTCCTGCTTTTCAGCTCCCTCATCAACTCTTCCCATGCTCGCCTCCAGGACTCTCCCATCCTCTGGAACGCTTTACCCCAACCTGTCCATCTATCTCCTACTCTGACTGCCTTTATTATCTCCCTAAAGACTCATCCCAACCACTGAACCATGACATTCTCAAACAATTCATCCTCACACAGCTACCTCTTCATGTACCACTTGCCCCTCCCTTTTAGATTGTAAGCCCTCACGGGCAGGGCCCTCATTACCATCCTCTCTTGATTTGTATTGTAATTGTAATGTCTTCCTTATATTGTAAAGCGCTGCGCAAACTGTTGGCGCTATATAAATTCTTTATAATAATAATAATAATAATAATAATAATAATTGGGGATTTAAAACAAACCTTATTGCCACTTAACTGTGATCTGCTGTTTGGTATATAATTGGATTTCACAAGTTTTCTGAGTGCCGCATCCATGAGGTGAGATACTGTTGGAAAATTTAGTCTAGAGCAGCTGTAACTGCATTGTAATTTTTACTTTGGACTGCTTCATATGTTATTGATTTATTTTATTGTTTTTAGACTTTTTTTCCTTTTTCATTTGTCTCTGCGCTTGTTTTAGAGATATAATGACATAGGTTAAGAAAATATGCTGGGACTGAAACAAGGGAGCTGCTATTTTTTACATGCTTTTAAAAAGGTGCAACTCCGGGACTTACCTAGAACAAGGATGCAACCAGTGAAGCAACACAACCTCCAAATGGCATATTTGTTCCAGGTTACCAGCTCAGTAAAATGATTATAAACCCATGCAATAAAAAACAATATGATTTACATTACGGTATGCTGCACAGAGATTTGTAAGTGCGCTCTTTTACTGTTACTATAAGACAAAATTCTTACAGTAAATTAATTGCTTTGTAACTTCCTTTCTGAGGTTGGCTATGCAAACCCTCTTTGCTTTCCCTGCATGTTCAGCAAAGCCACCAGCCTTCATGTTCTTGTGCTGCACCACAATGCTATGTGCCAACGCAGTCAGCACCAGCACGAAAAAACCTTCTCCAAGGTACTTCTATTACAGCATTGCCCATGCTTTATAGGAGGTACCAGCAATGTACCGTAAATGAAAATGCATGCATGCACATTGCTGAATGCCGGCACAATACATGATGAGAGATGTAGTCTGAGGCTTGCAGTGCACGTGACTATAATGATATCAGCACTGCTCGATCCTCAGACTGGAAGTTTGGTAATGGCATTTCCTAAGTTTGTGGTGAAGAGCAAAATACAAAGGTAATAAAAGTCCACTTTCAAAGGCTTTTGCAGAAATGTGATACATTAGGTGTGATTTTATATACTGTTAGTGATTTGCTGATATTTTTTTTGTAGAGGAGTGCTTAGTGACAAGCAGTAAAGCAATTATGAGGATGATAGCCGCAGAGTATACACCTTAACATACATGAAAAATGGCAGCTCCCACATTTTTAACTAGACCGGCTCCCTTTAAAGAGTAAGTGCACAGTATACTGTTGATAAGGATGGCATCTGAGCTATGCAGTATTATAGTGCCTATAGAGATCAGAGAATTATTGCCCAATCTGTTCGATAATGGTTGGACTTGGAAACAATTGTGTACTTTTGGGCAGTCTGCAGTCTTTGGGATGTTGGCTGATCAATCTTAGGGAAACAACCAATTGGATCTTACTGGCAAATCACTGCCGTTTGCCAGTAAGGACTGGTCTGCACTGCAGCCACATACATTTCAGTATTTAGTAGCTTTATACTGGCCCTGCTTTGATGTATTAACCCCTTCACCTCCCTTTTCCGGCATGTGTTCCCTCCTCATGTATCACTTGCCCCTCTCTTTTAGATTGTAAGCTCTCACAGGCAGGGCCCTCCTTACCATCTTGTCTTGAATTGTATTGTGATTGTAATGTCTTCCTTATATTGTAAAGCGCTGCACAAACTTTTGGCGCTATATAAATCCTGTATAATAATAATAATACTACTGTGTACATTAGCTCCTTCATTTCTATCCTCCCACTGTATGTGACCTGTACATTACCCCCTTGCTGGGATTTGTACTCCTCTATAGCTGATGGTATTATTAAAATATCATCAGCTATAGAGGACTGCAAATCCCAGCAATACATACTAATACCATGAGCTATAGAGAACTAAAAATCCCAGTAAAACAGGACTACAAATCCCAAAAATACATTATAATACCATCAGCTATAGAGGACTACAAATCCCAGCAACACATTATACAGCAATGCAGAATAGTTCCATGAGCTATAGAGGACTACAAATCCCAGGAATAATTATACAGAAATGCAGAATAAAACCATTAGCCATAGAGGACTACAAATCCCAACAATACATTATACAGATGCAATGCAGAATAATACTATATGTATTGCTACATACTCTGTGCTAACACTCTGCTCCAGGGTGCAGGCCTAATGTCTCAGGCGGAGGGTTTCAGGAGGGGGAGGTGTGTGGGCCAGCAGGAGCGCTGTAAACAGGCGCCACATGGTTCTCTAGAAGGCTGCTGCGAGGTCCCCAGCAAGAGTGGGACCAAAGGCAGCCGCATTAATTTAAAAATGTTAAGCGCCGGTATAGTCTTTTTTAATTGGGGTATTTTTACGAGCACGAGTACCCATTAAAATGCCCAGTATCGGCACTGATACCCATACTGGTATCGGTATCAGAGCATCCCCACAATCTAATATGCTGGATTAAACAGACCTTGGCTCCTGTATGCGTAAATCTCTTATTGTTATAAAGTAATTTAATATGCAACTGTTAATATCCCAATTGTTATACAGTATATTATTTACTGTGGTCTGCTACCTGTTTATGAAGTTGCTGAAGCTCCTCAAAAGTTTGCTTCATTCTTACTTGCTCTCCCTGTAAGAGTTCTCTCAGTTGTTTGGAGTCTTCACTCGTCTGTTTGATTTGGTCTTCCAAGCCATCATCCTCACATTTTCGTGCACTCTGCGTTAAGAACAATAAGATTATTTAAGAGGGCGTGTTTAGGGGTGGAGTTAATTCCGTGGCAGGGTAGGGGTTAGGTGGGCAACTGGTGGCGAGTAACTCTTAAGGCCTGGCTAGTAGCTCAGGACTTGAAATTTTGACCCCTGCTATATGTTATATGCTGTGTACTTATAGCACTGCTTACTTTAATGGATTACTGAAAGAGAACCTGTACTTTGTGCATACAATCGCCTATATATACACGGCACCAGCCTATTAATACATACAGCTGCTCTGTTCCTTATAAAACATAGAGGTCTTGGTGCAAGCAAGATGTCTGTGAAATATAATGCATTGAAGTTACCGCTGCTTCGCAAGTGTCCAGTATGCTAAGTATAAGGCTCTTCAGTTCACTCAGGGCAGTGCGGAGGCTCCCAGCTGGCATGTCTTTGGCAGATGAGGTTTCAGAAGATTCATCCATTGAGGAGTCTGTGGACACAGCAGAATCTGCACTTTCATTACCTCTGAGCTGGCAGCAAAGAGATCGGACTTGGCAGTGTGCTTCCCAGAGCTGCAACCTTAACTAGAAGTAAAAAAAAACCACACATTGAGGTGTTATCATAGGGGAAACGAGGGCATAAACTATATTTATATAATGGGTTTTCCATTTCTATTGTTATTCAAAATGGAAATTAAAGAGACCCTGTCACCAACTTAATAAAGAACAGAAAATGCAAGTATGTTAAATGCTATATTGTGGTGTTTTTCCTTTACATAAATTATTTTTATGCACTTGCTTCTATTTTTAAGTGCAAGTCAAAACCCTTTTAATAATTAACAAATATGTGTTTAATGCGGTTTGTACATGTAACATTACATAAATCAGATTTCCAGACACACAGAGAGTAAAGTGACACTGTCATTATGCCAAAAAGGTAAGTATTAACAGTTGCCATTTACAGGGCTGGACAAATCCCAGGAGCCAGGTAGCCAATGCTTCTTAAAATTACAACTAGTGCCTAACTTTTGAGGTTTTCTTTGGTTTTTGACAATGGAGCTGGCTCCCAAAAAATCCTGCTAGCTCCTGGATTGGACAGACTGGCTTATGAATTCCATATTAATGTGTCCACCCCTGATTTAAAAGAATGCTTTTTTTTTGGAGGCTTTTGATGTGATTACAGGTTTTTTTAAAGCTTTGTATTGCTTACAAAACTATTAAAGTGAACTTAAGGGGAAAGCTCACTTTCTCCCCCAGCTCCCACTGCACTTACATGTCTGAAGTCCTCGCCAGCCGGTGTATTGGTTTGTGCACCAGACTTCCTAGCAATGCAGTATGGAATGCTTATACCGCTTGCAAATGGCGAGCGACCTTCTTCACTGTAGAATATGATCACCAGGACCAATAGTGAATCTCTTCAGCGGGTACACAAACAGCAATAAAAACCCTTCCATATTCTATCCCCAAAAAAGTTTTCCATTTACATACACTTTAACCCTTTCGCTGCCAAGCCCTCCGGAACATTTTTCAAATCAGCTGGCCAAGCCATTTTTGAATTTTCTGCAATTTTTTCCTAATGTATTTTTGAAATAGGTTAGTGAAAGGTGATAAACATTTTTAAAGGTGAAAGTAGAATGTGAAGAGTTATGGCCTTATCAGTGAAATGATGCTCATTGTCCTATAGATAAGCTGGGAGTAGGTCAGGGATCAAGCTCTGACGCTCACCAACCTGGCATTATAGTGTGGCAGGTATATCTGGATCACAGGACTGGCTGAAAAAGATTGCAGCGAAGACTGTTCAGATATATGTATTTCAGCAGTGTATCATACTGTTTGCCTGGTGATCCAGCTTCAAGATATTTCACTTATTGTTTTTAGAATGCCTTCAAGCATAAGGAATTGCTGACAGCTCTATATACAAGGCTTGCAGTGAGTGACAAGGACAAAGCTTCCGGCACTGAGATTACATGTCCGCAGTATCAGGGAGGGAGATGTCCAAGTGAACATACTGGAACCAAGCCCTAGCTGATCCTGTCTTTTGTCTTCAGGGCCAGCACAGAGGCACACGTGAGATTAGGACACAGGTAAATTGGCAAATCTGACAAACAGCATCTGCATCTAATAATGCACGAGTTCAGTTATAAAGGAGAGCATATTTGCATGAATTTTCTAAAATAAACATTGATTAGCCTGGGACATTCATAGACTGCATCCTCTGCAGTTTAAATACACATAGCAGCCTATGCAATATTATAAACTCATTGTCAGTGGTGAAATCAACTGATCAAATGAAAATGTTCTATGCAAGGGTAGATCCTGCCATTCACCATTTATACATAGTCACTCAGCGGCAGGGCTACTATGCAAACAAAATATGTCCAAAGATGTTGGTCTTTTGCAATAAAACTTCTTGAATATACCTGTTCCCGCTCCTGTTCCTGCTCCTCGGCCTCTATACTTTGCTCAATTTCTGACAGCAGTGAGGTACTTGTGCTGTTTAGATGTTGGAGACTCTTTTCCTCCCTGAGCTCTTCCATCTTTAGCTGCAGCTGCCGATAAGAAAGTCTCAGCTCTTCCAGTTCCATCTGGCTTTCCCCCAACTACAGGAGAAGAGCACAAAAACTTGTTATATTTGAAGAGCAATGTAAAGTTTGAAAAATACAATCAATATGCAATCCTACATACTAATGCACATTTTTAATAATGTGTAAATATCAGGCTGGTTATTGGGTATGGAATCTACCCAGTGCCTGCTGTCAGTCATAAAGGAAGCAGACCTGATGGGGAGCTAGTCCCTCAGCTCCCCCATCAGGCTTCGTCCACTCAGCCACGTCATTGGTTGCTAAGAGACTGTCAGCTGTGCAGCCGAAGGCCTCTTAGCGACCAGTGACTCATCCCTGGCCCCACTCAGCTGCCACCTGAGAGATTCCCTGGCCCACAGCCAAATGTAAAACAAAGGGGCCGGAACACGGGCTAACAACCTGGTCAGTAAAGTGGTACTATGGCTTTTTATATTCCCCCCAGTATGTTCTAAGCCTCCTCTATCTCCTTCCCCATTTCCCTTTGACCCTAAAACCCTTCCAGCAAATGATTTGAACTAACCCAGATAGTAATATTTCATTCAATTTTCAAATCCTCCAGTGCACTGAGGTTCTGGCACATAACATTTAACATTTGAAAGACGGGATGTGGGGCTTCAGTCAAGTGCAGCTTACTCTCAGCTTGGAGAATTGTATACAATCTATTGGGCTCCACAAGAGCAACATTTATTTCTCAGAAACGTATAAGGCTAGGTATAATGTCTTTGCAAACTTGAGGCCAAATTGTATCCTATACAGTTGAGTCCTTTTCCTTCATGTTTACTCAATGTAAACATTTTTTAACCCTTTTTATACATAGCACTACCTCCCATTTTGCAAATTGGAGGAACCAATTTTATTTTTCACATGCACACTACAGACTTATTAAATGCAGGGCAAAGTGACAGTGTTTTTTTAAAAAAAAAAGCCCCCCCCCACCCCTGATCTACTGATACTTACCTCTCCAGTGATCCTCCACAGCTCCTTCCACTATCACAGCCAACAATACATGGTGTTGGAGCCTAGAGGGAGCAGTGGCATCACCCTCTCCATTGTGTGGCAGTGCTTGGCCCTACTAACTGGCTGCTTTTATCACATGTGAAGAGGTCACATTCTCTGTTATACCTGAAAGCAGTGGGGTAGAGGAAGGAGCGTGGGGGATTTCACAGACTCCATCAAACGACCCGAATGAGTTTAGAAACACTGTATATTTAATTTATTCTTAAAACTCTAATATGTGCATGGGTATTTAATGCATAAACCGCAATAATGGTCATGAATGATAATGTCTCGTGCAGCGGAGGAAAAGATGCACAGAATTCCCAATCTGAAAGTGCTTAGGACAGACTTCCCAGCTTCCCCTTCTATGTGTAAAAGCTGGCATGAAGGTGGCAGGAAAAAGATGACAGGAACAGAAAAGGTACGGCAGTTGGCTGTTTTTTTGGCTGTCCATTTTCTATGTAACTTTGTAGCTACTTAGAGGAGGAAACGGCATGGCATTTGTAATACGTCTTTCACAGCCAATAATTTAAAGTGACACTAAACTCAGAAGTTAAATCTTAAAAATGCATTCAAGTACTTGAACTGTTAACAAAAATTTAACTTTTTCATGTATCACGTAGCTGTAGATTCTCAAATCATCTCTGCGTTCATGCTGACACTGTCCTTCCTTCTGGAGGGTGGCTACTTTTGTTCCCCGTGGTCCCTGTGTGTGTTGTAAAGTTGCCACCGCTCCCAGCTTGCTCCTATGATGGACAACAATCTCACGTTTAGTTTACTTAGGCCCCATTCACACTGAGTGGAAAATCCCGCAATTTCCGCCGCGTTATCGTGCTTTTTTGCTGCGCGATATTGCGAGAAGTCGCCGGCCAATGGTTTTCAATGGAGCTGTCTTAATGCACAGCTCCATGTCGTCCGTCGCAAGTCGCGCCTGCAGGACCCCTTGCAGCCCGACAGTGAAGGTCGCGCGATTGTCGCTGGAACGTCGCCCGAACCGTCGCGATATCCCGCCGCGTGGAAATCCGCTTGAGGTGAGTGTCGCTTAGTGTGAATGGGGCCTAATTTGTATTGAGTCCATTGTGGGAGTGAGCTTGTAGTGGTGGCTACTTCATAACACACACAGAGACCATGGGGTACAAAAGTAGCTACCCCCCAGAAGGAAGGATCTACAGCCGAATGATACACAAATACAAAACACATTTTTGTTAATAGTTAAGGTACTTGAATGCATTTTTAAGGTTTAACTCCTGGGTTTGGTGTCACTTTAAAGGAATTCCAGTAAACTGGAAATGACTACCTATTAAGGACCAGTAAACTGAAGACCTTGGCCCCCACTTCAATGGGTTTTCCTGAGACAGAGATTTGCTATTACAAATTTGCGCACAGACTTTGGTACACCATGCATTTCAAGAGCAGGATGAGGGGCTGTGAAGGTAGGGGACGGCTATGCGTTACTACAGAGGAATTCCTTAGTGAAAGGGAAGATTTATGTTTTTCTAGGAAATTCCTTTTACAGTGGTTTCCTACCTATATTATTAATATACAGAGTTATTCACAAAAGGCTGAAAAGTTTGGAGAAGGCAGGAGAAGTGAACAATCTAGGACAACATAGCTGATTTGTAAAGTGAGATGAATTTGAGAATATTTCCAAATCAGCTATGTTGTCCTAGATTGTTCACTTCTCCTGCCTACTCCAAACTCTTCACCCTTTTGTAAATAACCTGTTAGTGATTGCAGATAGTAACTAGGATGATACAGATGAAGAGATAAATAAATCAGAGAGAAAAGGAAGGTTTAAACTGATACTAACAGTGCTGGATTTCTTTAAATGGTATCTATGGTCAAAAACTGAAAATAAATCTGTATTTCTATGTTGAATTTCCATAAGTTCGAACACACTTTAACCCACTCCTAGTAACCATATCGCTCACTCTCAGCCCTGTGAATATGCACTTCCTTGCATCACCACTCTAAGCCTGCTGTCTGAACAATGTAACATCATCATTTCTTGCTGGAAGCAATGCATGATGGGATATGTAGCCTTGAGAAATTGAGATTGCGTCACATCAAGCAGCAGGGAAATAGATGCAAAGCACACTGGGAATCCAGGAAGTTGATGAAAATGTTGGGCAGACAGAAGATAGCACTCACTGCATAAGAGATTTTTTCAAGTAAGCTTTGATTGCATCATCAAAAACAACTCCAGTATGTATTCCTACTACACTGCTGATGTTATAACAGGAGAGTATAATCTGGGACAACTTCTTTAACCAGCTGTATTGAGAGAAACCTCCTGAAATCATCAAGGCAGAGGGTTAGGCTAGTATTAATGTTTCACACAGTGCCATGGACACCAAGTTGTACATTGAATCTATTGCAAAAGATTGAAGATTTAATGCTGATTCATATTAAATAAATATATCACCCAACTGTCCAGCACTTCTGTCACTGGTGCATGTGTGGGCCTACATGCAACCTTTTGGGCATTCATCAGATAACTTTGTCCTTTTAAATTATTAGTTACATTATTTGTAAACCCTATTCTCAGATTATTTCCAACATTGGAGAACCACAGAATATATTATGATAATAATAATAATGAAATAATAATATCATAATCCATGCCTTTACATATCTTGCAATAAGGAGCACACCAGACATGCATTCTAACAATATAGAATATAAAAGCAGAAGGTACCGGGACCTTTGTTAGAGGTTACAGTCTAAAGGTCACCATACAATCTGACTATACAATCCTTGTATAACCAACTTTAGATTGACCAAAACTATGTAGTATGAGGACCTGTCTATATGATCCAACCAACCAATCTGTATTCAACCAGGAAGGTCCTTGTACTACATAGTTATTGGTAGATCTACAGAAGAGTGCAAAGACATATGTGTGGTGAGCGTAAAAGAGAAGAGGAAATAATATAAAAGGCGCAAATACACAAATGAACAGTTATGTATATATTACTAAATAATTAAATGTCTTTTAAATGCAAAAAAGAGTAAAAACTAAACTTAATCTCAGCCTCGTGTGATCTCCTGTACAGCAGCATTCAGACTGGGAGAGGGAGGGGCAGTTCTAGGAGCCAATCAGGACTGCTACATGCAAATATGCTGACAATGAACATGCTGAGATGAGCAGAGATCAGAGCTGACCTCATGAATCTGCATGTATTTCAACCATGAATTTAAATGTTTGCCTGGAGTTAAGCTTCAAGTCAAAGATTATATCTATCTATCTATATATATCCACCACTACTACTAAAAATAATGCTAATACTAAAACGGCCATTAATTCTTCTTCAGTTAAATGAAATGATAGTTTATGATATTCACTAAAATCCTCTTTTTTTAATCTAACGGAATGTGCTTAGTGATAGAAGTATGTACCTGAAGTTCCTTGGCACAGCTCTCTTGGTTTAGGGTTAACTCCCGGTCATGCAACTCCTCTACAATTCCCTGAAGCTGATCATTTTCTTCCATTATGGTGCTCAGCTGCTCCTCAAGCTCCCGTTTACGATCAGAAAGCATCTTTATCTGAAACCCACAAAATGAAACTTTGAGAGTCTTGTAAACAAGCAAGAGAGACAGAACACAGAATCCTGCCTGTGCTTCTTCTACTACCTTGTTCAGAATGTCAGAATGATAGAAAATAAAACTTTCAGGAATCTCTGAGATGTCCACATAGAAGGGGGAGGTACAGCATAAAGAATGTGATGTTCTGTGGAACCAGAGACCAGAACAAGCAGTGTGGGAGTGCGGAGGAATGCCAGGAGATAAAGTGCAACATAAACCTATTCCATGGGTTAACTCTTCATCTTGACCTCACGCTTGTTGGCTGGAGCTTGCAACTGAACATTCAGTTCTGTAACCGAAATTGATTATGAACCCAACTTTAAACACTTATGTACAAAACTAGGTAACCATTGGAATAATTATCACTCATCACTCATCTTGGCTAATATGTACGTGCAAGGTGGAAAAATACTCCATGATACCAGGCACTCTGTAGCCTTTTGCTATGTAATCTGTAGGTTTTTTATTTTCTAGTACAGTTAGAATATTTTTTTTTTTAATTCCCATATGTGCTCCTGTTGGGTAGATTTACCATCACTTTAATGATCACCAGAACAGGACATTAGAATGCTGGTGATATCATTGACCTTATACAGTATGGCCAGGTGGCCATATAGGGTCAATTATGTCACCAGCATCCCAATACATACTTTGTTTATACGCAGCTGCGAAATGGGGAATGCCCTGGCCACAGCTGATTGGGCTGGCAGCTTCCTTCCGGGTTCTGACGAAGTCAAGTTCAGCCTGAGCTTACCCCTATTGGTCACCAGAGACAGAAGCAGTGAAATCCTGACAGAGATTCTAATCCCTAACATTAAAACGGTTCTCTGTTCAATTTTCAGATCACTTTTTGAAACTTAGCTCTAAGTTTTTTTCAATTTTATAAAATTCAGTGATGTGCAGTTACCTATGAAAACCAAATAAACCAATGAAACGTAATATCTTGGATGTCCTGGGTTACTGAACTTTGTACATATTAACTCATTAAAGGTGCATGACATATTCTGTGTGCACAATGAAGAAAGTAGTATCCAGGCTTTTCTTAAAGGAGAAGTATTGGGAGAGTAAAATTTATTTTTCCCAATACTTGGAGCCGGCGTGTGACACTTCAGGTGTTACATGCTGAGTCTTTAGATTGAGAACTGAGTGATCACAAACCACTGATTGCTTGGTTCATGGTTTTCTCCCTGCAGAGAGCAATGACTGTCAGCCACCACTAGCGCAGGGAATCCCCCCTCCACTCTGTTCCTTCAGTGCTCATTGGAGGGACAGACAGGGGAGGAGGCGGGCACACCTGCTTCTGGCTCTTGAGGGGCAAAGCCAGCTGTCAATCAGGTACCGGGTGCATCCTGAAAATATGGTCGGGATCTTTCTCAGCTGAGTTACAGCTCTGGATTATCATCAAATAATGTGCAGTAGGCCACTACAGTAGATGCTAACTTAGTAAATGTACTCCTTTGACCCAAAAGAGGACTAAAGCCAAAAAAATTGTTTGGATTTAGTTCTCTTTTAATGTCTGAACTACGTAGGAGTAGAGTAAACAGGAACACGTTAGCAACTGGTGAAAACCTTATCGTCACCTTTCTAACATTTACAATGTTCGTATAGCTTTCACGAGTAATAAAACATATGAGACGCCACAGTATACCGCGAGTTACAGCTTGCGGTATACCGAGACGCTGCAGCTGAAGCGGATCCCGACAATTATGTCGGGATCCGCCCAGCTGCGTGAGTGACAGCTGGCTCTGCCTATCTAGAGGCAGAGCCAGCTGTACCCGCCCCCTCCCCCGTCCGATCCGTCAGTCAGCGCTGGCGGATCTGAGCGGGAATCCAGCCCCTCCCCTGTCACGGCAGAAAGCCGTGACATGATCGGGGGGTTGAGCGAACGCCGGTATGTGTTCGCTCACTTCCCGATCTACTGAGCCGACCTGTGACAGTCTCATTGTCACAGGTCGGCTAGAACTATGAGGTGAGTGAAAAGCACTCACCTCATAGTTCTCCTTTAAGCAGGCCATATATTATTAGAATGTTGTTCAAACATTCGCTTGAAATCATACCTCAGAGAATTCTATCTTGCCTAATGTAATTTGAAAGCCCTTAAAAATTTCACTCAGACCTGCTACTTGAATGGAATTCCAGATGTAGTAAACAGGTTTCTATTGTACCTAGCACATGCGCACAACAATATATATGATTTTTCCCCGAATGAAAATCACATTCATGGTTAGAATTTTATTAGAACAGAGAAGAGAAAAAATTTCTATCCTGCTCCTTCCATTCTACTCATCACTACGGCCGGAAACAATCATCAATTAGGCTCCACTAAGCATTAGAAAATTAAACGTGGTGAAAACAAACATTTTCAAACAAAATTCTACTAGTATATGGCAAGCTTTAGTTAAGCAAAATCTCCCGGAGCTAATATGGGGGGATGGGGTCCTTATTCATGTTCATCTTATACTAGGTCAGCCAGTTTGAAGGGCGCTGATCCCTCCACAGATTATAATGGTGGATAATCATCTAAAATTGGGCAGATAGCCTAAGTTCTAAAGTGAAAAAAGGATATTGGCTGGGATTGTATCAAAACTGAAGCAAACAGAATCTGGAGCAGTTGCCCATGGCAACCAATCAGCATCTCTATTCAGTTTGCTCAGGCAAGATTTGAAAATGAAAGATAGAAGCTGATTGGCTGCAGAGCAAATCTGCTCCAGATTTTGTCTGCTCCAGTTTTGATAAATGTCCTCTATAGTGTTTAAATGCAGCCAGTATATGACAGCACATTCCCAATTTAATTTAAATACCGGTAGTAGCAATACATATACACACTGGATATTAAGTCTAGCGCAGTGTGCATACTTATTACTACTAATATCCCTTTTGTATTAATTGTTACACAACAAGTATATTTTCTTCATGATGTGACATAATATTACGTAACAAGTTGCTTTCACAATTAGCATTATGGTTTTTAAGCTGTTTTGTAGTCTTATTCACAAGTGCGGGATTAGAGCAGGATCACTGTATCATGTGAAACGTTTTAGGCTAGGATTAACCTCCCTCCACACATAGAAAAACAACCAGAACCACAAAGACATTTTTTAATTTATGAGAAATGTGAAAAAAATATACAAAATACAGAAAATACGTTGCCACTTACAGGATGTCTGGTGTATCTGTATGGTTAACAGCAATGAGGATCAACAGCACTCAAAGGATGAACTCAATCCTTGTGTTTTTTTTTTATTGAAGAATCCTGTCCCATACATTACATAACCAACGTTTTGGAACCACGCAGAGTCCCTTCATCAGGACAAACATAGTGACAACAGCGTGGACCATAAACCCACAGACATCTATCTATCTATCCCTATACACCACACAAATTGCTGAGTACCTCCCCGTGACGTCATAATGTATCTGCGGCCGCGTCATATGCATCATGAAAGGGGTGAATATGATCGAGAAAAAAAGCAAACACTGTTTCATGATACTGCGATGCCTGGATAGCCTCACCTTGTGCTGCTCAGCAACGGGAGACTCTTTTCATGAGCCTTGGTTTTTGCACATGCGCTATTAGATCCCTGTGCGGGGACAATGCATTTCCTGTGCTGCGCTCCAACCATGCTACCAAGTTTCCATGACTACCTATGACGCGATAGCTCGGCACATATATATTTGTTTGTATAGGGGTATTATTCTGACTCCGATCGTTGTGATAGCGAAATATA